TAATAATAATAATAATTAGTTACGGCTTTTTTTATTTAGCTTATAAAAATATGAAAATAATCCACAATTATTTTAAAATTAACTTCAAATAGTCCTTCATGAAAATTATGTCAACAATAATTTAAAAACTTTTGATTATTTTAGCACTTTTATAAATTCAGAGATTATAAAACAGTCGCAAATAATTTGGTATTATTTCAACAGTTTACTAAAATAGTCTATCCGAATATAAAAACCTGTAAACCTGAAATCCGCTAACCTAATAAAGCTTGTCGGATTAACAGTACTAATTTTATTAAAATTCATCACATTGTTCATACTGAGATGTTCATAGTTATTTACCACTAACCTCTCATTAAATCTGAGATATATAGAGAGACAGCCCAATTTTGGAAAAATACATTTAAAGGTATCCGAGGTGATGAGAAGCCACTGTGCGCCATAGGCGACGAAGCCGAGAGCAGCGGCAAGGAAAAGGACAGCCGGAAGGGGGAGGTACAGGAGTGCAAGGCCGGAAGACCAACCGAAGGCCTTGCCGAGATCGGAGGCGACGGCCAGGTAATTGAGCTGCACCTGCGAGATCCCCATCGCCTCCTTCAGCTCCGACGAGTAGGAAGAGAAGTCGAAGTTGGTGCCGGTGAAAGCCTGGATCCACACCGTCGCCAGCAGTATCATCCATCGCCGTGATTGACCGGCCATGCTTTCCGATCAAATCCCGACTCCTCTGCTCTTTTTCTTTTCTCTTTTCCTCCCCCCTCCTTCTGTACTATTTCTTTAACGCGATTTCCCCACCGCCTGGCCTTTAAAAACTTCAACGACAGGCGTTGCGTGGGAGAAACAAAGATTTCGGCCATCTTACACTGGTTGACGTGTTTCATAGTAGGCCTCAACAATGAGTTGCACAAAGCCTGGCCCATTATAGAAAGCGCTCCTCAACAAATTAATAATAATAATAATTAGTTACGGCTTTTTTTATTTAGCTTATAAAAATATGAAAATAATCCACAATTATTTTAAAATTAACTTCAAATAGTCCTTCATGAAAATTATGTCAACAATAATTTAAAAACTTTTGATTATTTTAGCACTTTTATAAATTCAGAGATTATAAAACAGTCGCAAATAATTTGGTATTATTTCAACAGTTTACTAAAATAGTCTATCCGAATATAAAAACCTGTAAACCTGAAATCCGCTAACCTAATAAAGCTTGTCGGATTAACAGTACTAATTTTATTAAAATTCATCACATTGTTCATACTGAGATGTTCATAGTTATTTACCACTAACCTCTCATTAAATCTGAGATATATAGAGAGACAGCCCAATTTTGGAAAAATACATTTAAAGGTATCCATCCATCTTATGAAACCTACAATTATTTTCAACAAGAAAACGTAGACGACACTCGCATAAACAACAATTCCCATCATCCATCTTATGAAACCTACAATTATTTTCAACAACAATTTGGTAGCTTGCATAAACAACAATTCCCATTAAAAATAGCAAATTTGGTAGCTTGCAGGCCTGAAAAAACATTTAAAAAACAAGAGTATGTAATGGTTTGATTTGATAGGAAACCTCAAATACTCTTCATATGTAATGCTTTACTTCTAACATATAAAATGAATGTCTACACCACACTCCTCTTCTACACCAAGTAACCAAACAGGGACATCTCTATGAAAAAAAGAAGCTGTATTTATCTAAACTTATATTACAAAAATATATATAAAAAAAAAGGCTATAGATGATCAAGAAACTTTAATCTCACCCTCTTCATGATTAGAAAAGGCACTCAAGCTTAGAAAGCTTGCGATGACAAAAAACTTTGGAAGCCTATCTTTTCAGTTTGCAGGATTGCCAATCTTAAAGTCTCATGCCCAAATACCCGTCATTCGGAGCCTAAGGTTTCCAATTTTTATAGGAGCCTGATCAATTTGTAAGAGCAAAAAAGAAAAAAACCTCACCCATTTCCAGACTAATTCGAGTCCCCCTTGCAATACTCGTTCCGGTCTTGCAATCTCAGAGGTCAACAGTGCACCATGTGAGACCACAATATGTCAATCCTCCAGAGGCTGCTAAATGCCAACCGGGATGACTCATCAGTAGAGAGCCATAAATCTAAATCCAACCGCTCATAAGTCATAAGTAAGGGTAAAACCATCATTTTTCTCAGCTGATGACCTCATATCTGATGCCAAACCATCAAGCATCGCATGTATACGGTCACTCTCTGGATGATCTTTATCTCTGGACATGAATCTGTGAGATGCATCCCGCACCTCAATCCAACTGGAACCAGGCTCCTTCATCAAACCCCTTCCTTTCATTTCCTGCCTCAGTCGGCGAACGCCATCCCATCTTCCCTCCTCAGCATACACATTTGACATTAGAACATGGTAACCTGCAGAACCATTTTCATTTTGATTTTCCATGTCAAATAATCTCCTTGACACCAATTTCCCCAACTCGTACTTGCCATGAAGCTTACAAGCTGCAAGCAAGGAACCCCAAATTCCTACCTGATTTCCGCTCTCCCCGAGATATCTCACAAACTCATAAGCTTTCTCCACCCTCCCCGCTCTGCCTAACAAGTCAACAACACAGCAGTAATGCTCGGTTGTAGCCACAATCCCAAAAGCTTCCATTGATTCAAAAACAGCAAGGCCCTCGTCAATTAAGCCACTGTAACTACAAGCTGATATAATCGCCACAAATGTCACTGCATCGGGCTTTATGCCTAAAGACTGCATGTCCTCGAACAGCGAAAGAGCTCTCTCTCCAAGCCCGTGCTGACCAAAGCCTGAAAGCATTGTAGTGTAGGTGACTCTATTCTTTTCTTTCATGAAATTGAAGACCTTGTCAGCGGAGATAATCCCACCACACTTTGAATACATGTCTATAATGGCCGTGCCCACAAAAACGTTAGTGTCCAGGTGTTGCCGAATAGCAAATCCATGGATCTGTTTGCCAGCTTGGATTCCTTCGATAGGGTCACAAGCAGGGAGGATCAATGAGATGGTCACATGATTAGGCAAGCAGTTTCTCCCAAGCATGTTGCGGAACAAAGAAAGAGCCCTGTCAAGATTCTCATTGTGCATATACCCAGCAATCATCGCATTCCATGTGACCTGATCTCTCTCATCACAATCATTCGCATCAAAGATGCGTCCAGCTGTTTCAACGCAGCCAGATTTGGCATACATGTCGATGAGATAACTGAGCATCCCTTCAAACTCAATTCCCTGCCTGATGAGATAGCCATGTGTTTCCTTCCCCACACTGAGGCTGCCCAGATTAGATGCTGCTGAAAGCAACGCAGTAACTGTGACTGAATCAGCAATTAGGCCTGCCTTATGCATCTCATGAACCAGCCGAAGTCCTTCAAAGTTCAGGTCTTTCTGCACAAAGGCGGAAATCATGGTATTCCAACTCACAATATCTCTCTCTAACATCAGACCGAAGACATCAAAAGCAGATTTTACATCATCACATCTAGAATACATCACCATGAGAGCATTGTTAAGGATCAAAGGAAGCGCCTTTGAATTTTCTTTTATCAGGTAAGCATGAACCTGCCGGCCTAACCCGTCGTCCTGCAACTGTGAAATTGCCATCAGAGACGCCAGGAAAGTCACATCATCTGCAACAACCTCATCAGACTCTAAAACTTGCAAAAAAAGTGCAAGAGCTTCTTCGTAACAAGCATTTTGAACATAGCCCCCAATCATGGTATTCCACACCTGGACGTTCTTCTCAACGGCACAGTCAAAGATCAGCCTGGCAGATTGGATATCCGAACGCTCAGAATAAATGAAAATGGCAGAACTCAGGACGAATACATTTGCAACGTAATCGATGCCAAATTTGATGAGCATACCAAAGAGCAAGTCGGGCCAATAGTTCGATCCCTTCACTGAAGCAGCTGAGACGGTCGCAGGGAAGACATTCACAAAGCTGACGGGCGAGGGCCTGATTCCCGCTTCAACCATGCGCCGAAACTGATCCAGCGCGATGGCCGGGCGGCCGGATCTCACGTACCACCCAATCAGAGTGTTCCAGGACACCACATTTTTCTTGGGCATTCTGTCGAACAGCAAGCGGACGGCGTCCACAACAAGGAGATGGTGGGTGTCGAGGGCTGAGGCGTACATGTTGAGGAGAGAGTTGTTGAGCACACGGTTGGTAGGGGTTGTGGGAGAGCAGCGCAGTATGCGGCAGTGAAGGGACTGGCCAAGGCGGAGGCGGCGTGAGTCGGCACACGCCTTGAGGACTGACGAGTAGGTGTAGTGGTCGGAGCGTGCATCTGAATCCGAGTTCATAAGCTGGTAAAGTCTGAGGGCATCATCGGGATAGGAGTTGCAGACGTAACCGATGAGGATGGCGTTCCAAAGAATGGTTGGGATGGGGCGGGGTAGAGCATCGAAAAGGCGGCGGGCGAGTTCGATCCGACCTTCCTTGCATAGCTGGCTTAGACGGGAGCGAAGGGCGTTGGACCGGCCAGAGCGGTTGGGGTTTTCTAAATCGGGGTCGAGGGGACGGGAAAGCTCAGCGGCCGGCGGAGTGAGAGATGGCGGCGAGGAGGAATTACGGGGCGGGAAGCCAACGGAGAAGAGAGGCTTGGAGCAGGAGTGGGGGTGCAGAGGCGGAGGGAGTCGGATGGCTTGAACCCAGTACTGAGTCATCGCGCCTGCCCCTTACTTCATCACCACATTTCATCATCCGTTTTCCATAATTTATAATTTTCCACCCAGATATGTATTTATTTTTCCCTCACTTCTCTCAAAATCTCCAGCCCACAACCACAAATAGCTGAAAAAAATTGTTTACATAATTTCTATCAATCCATTTTCATTTACTTCTTAGTTTATTATTTTTTTTACATATCAATCATCCAAAATATTAAACATAATATTTACATATCAATCATCCAAAATATTCAACATAATATTTTAATCACTAAAATTTTTAATTATAAATATATATAATTATCTTTTTTAATTATAAATATATATAATATCCGAATTGATACCCCTAATTATCTTTTTTTCAAAACTTTTAATCACTAAAATTTTTAATTATAAATATATATTTTCATTTCAATCATCCTTTTTACCCATTAGTAAATATTTTAAATAAGAATTTTGAGTAATTAAAATATTATATATAATTCAATATTTTAGATAGTTATTACATTATATTTAAAATTTTTGTAATGACTAAATTATAAACATGATTTGCAAGATTTGGAAGATCAGGTTGGCCGTGGACACGGTCAATTCTGTACAAACAATTCACTAAAATCTCTCACATCACATCAGTTCTCAACTATTTAAATATCACAAATTTTTTATGCGAGTACATATGGTCCATGCGTAACGTTTAAAGATCAGGTTGGCCGTGGACATGTCTTTAACATCACATCAAAATTATCATCTTTTAAGGGTGCTAAAAATTCAACCAACACTTCAACAAAACTCAAGCTCGGTTAACCCAAATATTTTTTGAGTCAGATTTGAATCAAAGAGTTTGACCTGTTTATCATTTATGCTGGGTTCAAATTGAACATATTCAAGTCAGGTAATTTTCAAATCGCCCTTGAACCTGACCCGCCGACCCGAATTGATACCCCTAATTATCTTTTTTTTCAAAAAAAATATATAATTTAGCACATAAATTTAAGACAACAAAATTTTAATAAGTGTGAATATCAGACTTTGGGTATTTAGGTATTAGAAAAATCAAGAACAGCATAAAAATCCGAGATAACCGAAAGAAGTAAAGCTTAAAAATGAAGCAACAAAAACTACTTGGATCAGGGAGTTTAATGAAAACAGAGGACAACCCTCAGAAATACAAATATGCTGTTAGAGGCAGCTGGAGCTGCTCGTCAGCTGAGAAAAACTGAAACGCTGTTCTCAATCTCTCAATCAACTGGAATCACATAAGAGATTGATTAGTCTCTCAATCAACTGGAATCACATAAGAGATTGATTTGTATGGAAAAACAATTTCCCCCTTTTTTTTTGAGTCTCGGTGCTTTTTAAATTATATATGTTGCCACGACATGACTCGCAGTTCCTTCACTAACAACCAAAGTGCTCAAGGAACAAAAATGAAACTATCTATCTGCTGGTTAACAAGTTTCAGTTTCCAGTTAACATATATAATAAAATAAATTACTTTGTAGATCAAGATGCGGATAGCGGGATCGGCCTCACGGCACTTTGAATGCGACGAAATGCTGTTCTCACCCTGTCCTTGAGAGCCTCATTATCACATTCAACATCACCGTTCTTCCCATCCAAACGAGCAACATCCCCATCAACCGTGACCACCAGCTTCCCTTCTTCCCCAACCTTCACATCACCAAAAAGGGATACAAGCAAAGCAAATGTCACCTTCTGCGCCATCCTTTCAGTCTCCTCCTCCCTCTTGTTGTTGTTGTTGTTGTTCTCCACCGCAGGCATAATTACTTTAGGACCTTCCCTGTTTATGTTCAAGATTAAGGCCACAACAGAATCCGATACCATATCACTGATCGGATCAGAAGTCCACTGCAGACTCACAAGACTCTCCGACTCATGTCTTATGGTTACTCTCTCATGAACAATAATTGTTGGCACGTCTGCCTCCTCTTGTGGGGACACCACACTTTCATATATCCGATTTAATCTGTGTTTTATGACTCCAAAAGCACCAGTATAAGGAACAGAGATCCTTTGAGTGATGTTTGCAGTGGACAGCTGAGAGAAAACATGGAGGTCTTCAGATGCCATAATCTGGTAAGTGAAGCCTTTCTTAACCAGCAATCCGTTGACAGTACTGCCAACTTCTGGCGTCCTTTCAGCCAGCCTTCCTATTGCCTTGGCCATTTTCTCAGAGCTGAAGTACATCTCAACGGACTGGCAATTCTTTGGGGAGATTATCTTTGTATTTTGATCAGCAAATTGAGTGATGAGCTTCTGCTTCAGCCTGGCCATCTCATTGGCTTCTCCATGGACAAGAATTATGTTGGGAGGCATAAGTTCCTTCAAGAAGGTACTTGTCTGCGCGAAATCTGCATGAGCTGAGAAGGAGATGTAATATACCTGCATATTTAGAGGAGCAGTGAGGCCATTAATTAAGGTCACCTCTTTTGGTTCATTAATAATGATCTTTGCCAGTGTCCCTTCCACAACATAACCTGGCAGGACACAAGCATTTTTCTTATCTGTACACCACCTGTCAAAAAGCTGTCTAGAGAGACCACTTTGGAGACCACCTGGGCTCGCCATCACCACTGACGGACCGACATCATCAAAGTTTTCTATGCTTTTCAAAGGAGAGATGTGCTTGAAATCAAAGGGATTTGAGTTTGCAAATTGGTTCCGTATCCTCTCATTCATTGCATTGATGTACGTCTGGTAAACAGCCATGCATCTCTTAGCAAGCGGGGAGGCATAATAGATGGGGATGTTGTGAAGTTCAGGATGGTTGGACCAGTATTCATCCAAGATGAGGAGGAGCTCCTGGGCTCTCCCAAGGGCAAATGCCGGAATAAGCACTCGTCCTCCCTGAGAGATGGTTGAATGGATCACATCTGTGAAGCGTTTCTCTCGAATAACACGGGGCTGGTGGAGCTGCACGCCATAGGTGGATTCTATGATGCATATATCAGGAGAGAATTGTGGGATTTCAGCAGCACGGAGATGGCGGTCTTCTTCACGAGAATAGTCACCAGTATAAAGAACTCTGACGCCAGCAATGTCCACCATGAACATGGCAGCTCCAAGGACATGACCAGCTGTGTAGCACCAAAAACGAATTCCATTCACTTCTACCGTCTGGTGGAAGTCAATAACCTGAAACTTTTCTAATCCACTCAAACCTCTGATACTACAAGTGACAGCATTCATTAATAGAAAAATATAGATGTTACGTTATAAAATGACCATAAAACTTTGTGAAATAAAAACGTGGTAGTAGTAGCCAGTATAGCTGTGTTACGACCCACAATCAACTTGGTAACATTAGATGCTACCGTTCCAAGGATTCAGGGAATGAACTTGTAGAACTGTGTGGGGGAATAGCAATTCCTCGAAGTCTGAAAGGATAGACTTTAAAGATTTGAGGAAAAAGTGATTGAAGAAGATGGCATAACAAACCTAGATACTACCCCCGTGGTATATTAAAAGTGAAGAACAACAATTGGAAGTCTTCTATTTCTAAAATTACAAAGTGAAAACACAGCAGATTGACGAACTCCCATTGGAATTGGATGTTCGTTTGTCCGTTCTATGTTGCTCTAAAGCGTGAAGAGCCCTAATTGGCACCACAAAATATATGGAAGACATGAGCAATGTAAACAAGAAAACGAGAAATATTCAAAAGAAAAAAAGTGTTTCTTACTTGAGCATCCAATGCCAGAGCTGCGTAAAAATGCTCACATTCTTCAAGGGGAATAACGAGTAAACGCAACAAACAATAATGGAGGAAACTTCATATATGACGTTTGTCACGGGAAGACATCCTTTCTTTTTTGCACAATCGAAATCATATGATACATATTTATAGACACTCCTAACACTATAGGTTAGAAATATCTCCAATATGGAAAAATAATCTACTTAGATCTCCTCAAATTATGTTACCAAATATATAAGCATTAGATTTAATGTTTTTCATAACTCTCCCCTCAAGTTGGAGCATACATATTTATGATATTATTTTGGGGCTTTTACACACATACCACTCAATTCTTATGAATTTACACATTCAACGCAAAAAATTATTTTTCGTTTGCAATCTTAGTTCACATTATTTAAAAACTAATAAAATTTAAAATTTTTAAAATACAATATAAAAATTTAATATATAAATATAATATTAATATTTTTTATTTATAATTTAATTAATTCGAGTGAAATCTAGTTGAACACCTATGAACAAACATTTATTTGTGTTCAACTTATTTATATATCAAGCTCAAAAAATTTATTTGCAATCGGCTTGTTTGCTTAATGAACAAATCGAACACGAGATACTCACGAACTACGAGCTTCTTAGATAGTCCTAGTTGGAACTGTCATCTTAAAACTCATTTCGGTCAGGAATTGGGAGACTCGCATCAATGCACTCGATGCTTATGTCATTGCTTGATACTCAGATTTTGCACTTGGTCGTGCCAGTATATTTTATTTCTTACTCTTCCAAGAACCCAAATTACCACCAACAAAAAAAAAATAATAAAGTAATGGATCTTCGATCAATTTTGGAACTTGCCCAAACTGCATCAGAGAAACATTCAATATTTCTGCCCATGATTTTGATATAGAATCCCTTTTCTAGAAGCATTTTTGAGGTCATTGTGAGATAGTTTGGGGAAAACATGAACTGACTTATAGTGCTAACCGAATATTCAATGTCAGTGCGAGTCACCGTGATATAGTTTAATTTTTCCACTAACTTCCTATATTTTTTAGGACCATTAAAAGGCTCTCCACTTTTGATAAATTGTTGATTAAGAAACATTGGAGTACTGCATGGTTTGACATCTAATTCCCCATTTTTGCTAACAAATCCAAAACATACTTTCGATGAGATAGAAATGCACTCTTCTTGCTCCTTGTAACCTCAATCCCCAAGCACTTCAAGGAAACCAAATCCTTAGTGTTGAACAGATTTTGAAGAAATGCTTTCAATAATAAGATTCCTTACACATCACTTCCAATAATAATAATGTAATCAACATATACATCAAAAAAAAGATCCCAGGAGTAGATTACTTGTAGAATACAGTATGATCACTTTTACTCTTCAACGTCCCAAACTTTTCTACTGCTTGGCTTAATCTTCCAAACCATGCCCAAAGGCTTTGTTTCAATCCATATAGTGACTTCCGAAGATGAAATACTTTCCCAGACTCCACTTAAACAATAAATCCTAGAGGTTGCTCCATTTATATCTCTTCTAAAAAATCACCATGCAAAAATAAACATTCTTCACATCAGGCTGGTGCAACAACCAATTATTCATTACAGCCAAGGACAGAAAAAGATGAATCGAAGTCAACTTGGCTACTGGAGAGAACGTATCCAAGTAGTCAATCCTAGCAACTAATCGAGCTTTGAGAAGAGCTACAAATCCGGTAGAATAAACTTAATTGCAAAGAGTCATTTACAACCAACAATCCAAACTTCTTGAGTTCCTAAATTCCATTTTCAACTAAGACATTCATTTCATCAGGCATTGTTGCCCGCCATCCAGAATTGAATAGGGTTGTTAAATGAAACCTGGGACTTCAATAGAATCAAGGAAAGCAATAAAAGAGCATAAAGTAGAAGATAACTAATCATAGTTAACACAAGAGAAAATGTGATAGACACGTTTATGTTTACCTCTTAGAAGAGCAACAAATAAATCAAGGCCATAGGAGAAGGATTCAATGATAAAGAGGATATTAGTGCCAGACTAGGATCAAGGGAACGAGGTCTTCTTGGATAAGCATTGATGATAAGTGGTTTATGTTGAGGCACTGGTGGTGGAAGTGAAATTGAACGAATGATGTAATACATTAACAACTCATCAGAATCTTATGAGAATTTAAGCAACAACGAGCTGCCAAAGAATGTGATTTGTTTGAGAAAAGTGATATCAACAGAGATCACGTACCTAGTTAAGGGAAAAGAGAAATATCAATACCCTTTTTACAAACAAGGGTATTCTAAAATAGCACAACTTAATGACTTAGGGTCCTGTTTAGAAATTTGTGGACAGGTGTCACAAACAAAACACATACACCCAAATATATGTGATTCAATGGGAAAGAGAGAGTTAGTTGGAAGTTGGAAATAAAATTTGGTAAGGTATTTGGCTCTATAAAATGGTAGAAGGCTATTGATAAAAAAAAAACATGATGCAACAACCCAGTATTGCTTGGGTACTGGGTTTGAAACAAAATAGCTTTTAGCTATTTCAAGAAGATGTCTATTTTTTCATTCAACTACTCCATTTGAGGATGGAATATCAACACGAAATGACTGGTGCAGCTTCCCGTTTTGTGTCATGTATGACTGAAAGGATGCAAAGAATATTCTTCGACATCGTTACTTCTCAGAATCTTAACTGAAACATTGAATTGAGTTTTAACTTCAACATAAAAGAATTGAAATTATGATAATAACTTTAAACGAGATTTCATAAAGTAAAGCCAAGTCTACGAGAAAATCCATAAAAGTGACAATATAAAAAATCATTAGATAAAATAGAATAATGTCTCCATACATCAGAATGAGCAAACTCAAAACAATCAGAATGATTTATTTTTTTTTCGTCACACCTCTCAATCTATTACTATTTATACAAATGTTTATTGAGTTTGATCAGTTCATGATTGTTGTTCTACCTCGGGGTATTGCTCATTTGTATGGAACAAGCTTATCACGTGGAAAAACAAAAAACAAATTGTGGTTGCTTGAAGCAGTGTCGAAGTTAAGCTTTGGTCCATGTCTTTGGGAATCTGTAAAGCTCTCTGGCTATGTATCAGGCTCTGTAAACTTTGTATGACGTCTGTCCCGCTAGAGCTGTTCTGTGACAATAATGCCGCAATCAACATTGCTCACAATTCAATCCAGCATGATCATACTAAACATGTGGAGATCGATAGACACTTCATTAAGAAAAAGATAGTGAGATTTGTGTTTCAAATGTGTCCTCCAGTGGTCAATTAGCGGGCATACTCACCAAAAATCTTTCTCGCCTTTTGTTCAATGACTTCAAATCCAAGTTATGCTTCAATTTGAGGGGGAGCATTAGATTATAACGGCAATCCCTAGCCATTATTACTCATTATTTGCTATTATTCCCTCATTATGTATTTCATATTTTGCTTTATTATGTTTTATTTTCAATAACTTCAAATCCAAGTTGAACATGAGTGACACTCATGCTTCAACTTGAGGGGAGTAATAGATTGTAACGGCAATCCCTAGCTATTAGTACTTAATATTTGTTCTTATTCCCTCATTATTTATTTCCTATTTTGCTTTATTATGATTTATTTTCTTTCTCTTGTTGTTTTATTCTGATTTATTTCTTTCATTTATTATGTTTATTGTAATTGGGTTTAAGTACTCTGCCTCCTATCTAAAATATTGAGCAGCTTTATTTCGAATTTCAACACTTATTAATTTCTCAAGCTTATTAAATCATTCACTTAAAAAGTATTGAACCAAACAAAATATTAAATATGCATTCAAGTTGTTGAATTTTTCCTACAATACCGCGCTATTGTAACTCCTTACAGTAGCATGATACAGTAATGTTGCTATAATGGAGCTCACTCACTCTACAATCATACCAAAGAACTTACGTCACATGGAAAAAGGCCTTATGCCCTTAGATAAATTTCTCCAAGGCGTGCGTGACGCGCCTAAAAAAATGAAAACATTTTCATATATATTTTATACTCATTTTAAATTATATCACACTTTAAAGAAAAATATTTTGCATGATTTCGGTTCCAGGTACAATAAATGGACTTATGGAGAAAATGAAGTAAAAACAGTGCAATTTAGAGTCAAAACGAGGAAGAAAAATTTTTTTACCTGACACACTTCGATATGTCTTTCTATATTTAATCTTCTTTACATTTATCACATATTTTTGAAAGAAATTATACTTTAAAGAAATGTTATTTTCATGTTTATTTTGTAGATATAACAAATTGGATTGAAAAGAGTCTGAAACAAAGCGAAACGGGGCGAAACAAAACAGAAATAGAGCTAAACAGAGCTGAAACAGAGCGAAATGGGGCGAAACGGTGGAGTTGTCTATAGGGTGGCGTCTAGGTGCCCAAAGCTGGCGCCTAGGAGTCAGAAATGGTTAAAGAGCGGT